GTTGTTTTGCATAGCAACGTCTCCACCAGATGTGTCACATAAAAAGACAAATTGGTTATCGTTCTCTGTCGAGTATACCGTTGAGGAAGGTATATACTGCGTCGGTCCAATCTGGCGGCGAACGCGCTTTGCGTCGCCCCGCAAATATATTGCTGCATCTCACAATGGTGACGTCGCCGATTGAAAAGGAGTTTCTTTGCGTGATTGAATGCAACATGTGTTGCGCCGCCAGAATCTCTGACAAGTAAGACATTTAGAAAGTCGCATCATCAAAGTGCGCGGTCGCACGCCTGTACCTTCATGCATTACAGACTTGGCCCTCATGAAAATGAGGTGCCTCGCGATGACAACATTCAAGTGCAAAAATATATACGATACACAAGACAACAAATTGAGTGGCAGCATCAAAAGAAAAAATCGAAATGAGCGCTATGTATTGGTGGTTCAATACGTAAAAAGTGGGTAAACACATAAGAGGTTTCTCACCTTGGAAACCCGATGCGATTATAAATACGAACGCATGCGCTCGTGTGGACGTGTCTGTGGGTTGAACCCTTGCCACATGCGACGGCACCTGCTGATTCCGGTTGAGTGTAATCAGGTCATCAGTATGGACTTGATTTATGGTCTTTCAAAAGCCGCATTCAATAATACTGGTACTGAAGTCTCTGTGGGCTGTCTGGGAAAGATGGACATGTGTTTGTCTTGGCTTTCATCCATCGCGTTACGCTTCCGGCGCATGACGCTCAAACTCATTGCGGAGTACAGCTCGTCGACGCCAGTGGCACACGAGTTTGTTGTGGAATTAAATATATTTGTTGATTTCAACAAACCTACTTACTCATGCAGTGTCTTCGGTCTAGAATACAAGTTGCAACAGTGAAAATCCGGAGCATTCGCGCTCGTACCGAAGAAGAGGTTGAGTTATCCTTTTTTCTGAATTATTCAGAAAAACTTTGAGCACATTCAGCGTCATGAGTGCAACACTTAATCCAAACCATGAGGATCGCTCTTTCAAGCAACCCGAACGTGAAGAAATCCGATGCAGACGAGTCAACATATCAATCATCCCTGTTGATAAAGCAGTGACGAGATTCACCGGGGGGTGCCTTAAGCCAGGCAATACGATAGCAAAGCTCAGAGAGTCAATCCGAAATCTGGCTCATCTGAGCCTTAGACGCACGCCGTGACTATCAGAGAGAGTAAATGTACCGTCACAATCGAGAGTGTACATGTGATCAAGCCTCGGAAGGAATCGTCGAAACTGTTCGTTGAGCAAGGGCGGCCCAAGCTAACTTGAAACGTTTGGGGGTGAAATACGTTCATTAGCTTTGATGAATCGTTTAGTAAACCAGGGCTATTATCAATACTTGGTGAAGTGGAAGGTTTGCGCTCAGTATGAACGATAATGGGATTTTGAAGCTCCACTCGTGGTTGCTTACGACCTGGCGCACCGTCAGTCTATATTTCATATGGAGAAGAGGCAAGTCGCCCATCGCAGTGTATTTCTCTTCAGTGGGAGGAGACCGACCTTGCGTTGCAATAACCCTCCGTAGGTAATTTTACAGATACCTCACGAAGATAAGCGGCACTGTAAGAGACATGACCTCAAGTTGAAAGGTAGCCAGCCACCCTGATGTCTCCGTGTTGATATGTGTTTGCCAAGTTGAGCAAGAGATAATGCTCATTGCGCAAGGCCACGCCGCCAAAGCTGGCTTGTAAGGCATAGGACGGCTTGGGCGACGTGCGTTCTGCACCCAATGTAAACAAGTAATGATACTTAGCGGGACTTCTGCCAGCTTCAACTATTCAGGGTAGATCCAAGAGGGTATGGTCTTCTCAACAGCCGCCGCTCCAAGCACATACGGTACTTGTAACGGGGTAACACATATCCTGGTAACAGGGGTATGCGTCACACCAAATGGGCATGATGTGACCACACCCAAACGAGAATACGGTACGGGGCTGGATAGCCAGTAGATATACATGTATTCAGATTTTACTATACATATTTAGAAATATATATGCTTTTAGAATTAGGCGCCTTTGCCGCAGATAAAAAAATAAAGTCAGTTTTTGAATCTAAACGGAAAAGTTAATTAGCCTTGGGTCAAGGCTATATTTACTCTTGGAGTAAGCGGATTGCGATCCGCTAAACTCGTACTTGTTCTAAGTATTGAACGAAAGGTCGGTGACCTGACTTACGCTTCCTCTAACCGTAAAACTACGTCAGCCCCGGTGCAGTACTCCTGGAGAGTGACTGGCTGTGGGCTGAGAAAGCGCTTGCGGAGCAAAAATCGATTCTGTTTTAGTGAGAGCGACAGATTCGCACGTTCAGGAGTGTAATAGCTCCAAACCAGCGAGCAATATCGGACGGTTTGGAATCATACCCACGGCGTGGTGACTTGGACAAGAGTCAGCGTGCCTCCTGGACACTCAGCTCAGTAAAGCAAGCTGGTTATTTAAGCCAGGTCGATCTTGCCGATAGCAAGCTGTCTGTTCACAGCGCCGTATTGTGACACTTCCCGCTGTTGGAAAAGTGCACGGAGTTTGGAGATTCAAGCTTGTTCAGGAGTGAGGCTGAGCGCATTGAACGCCACGTCATCAAGGAGTGACTATAATTTGTATTTATGAGCGAAGGTGAGGGCGGAGGTGTTTGGTTGGACATCAAAGAGTCGCTGGAACCTTTTTTTGAGAAACACTTCGGCGATCTCACCGAGATTTGTTATGCGCGTCGGCCGCAGAGACCGTGATTTTAGCGCGGGCTCTTCGGACCATTGATTTGGCACACGGGAGCGGACTCCTCGTACCGTTGTATCCAAAAGTGTCTTGCACGGTAAAGTTCAGCGGTTGAAGTGGAATTACAGGTGCAGTGGTCGCTCGAGGAGCGGCAGTTCAGCGCAACTTTTTTTGCGGGACCTCTAGTACGGTCTATATCATAGTAGGGGAAGTGCAACGGATACGAATATAATAAATCTCAAACATTTGGTATGATTGCATTAAATCAAAGGTCAACTGTGCAAACTTCACATTATACTTGGTGTCATTGTGAATATCCCTAATTGCCGGATTTACGAAAATGACGGAATTCCGAATAGAGGAATTCGTGGTACACATCGGCGCGAAACAATAAATTCAGTTTCATTTATATGAGATGCCAAAAAAGTATGGTAGTCTGAGCAGAAAGTATATGTTTTCTCTTGAATTAGTAAAGCAAATTAGAAATAACAGCAGGAGCACTTGCACAAGATGAGCACGTGCTAAAATTTCGACGACTCGTGGACTCTGCTGTAAGCAACGGGAGAGTATGCAGTGGATGCCACCGACGACATCGTAATCCAGACAGGCCAGTGGAATCGAGAGCCACTGTGTAGCCACCTCAAAATTCTACAATCTTATTTCATCTGGAAGATGTATCAGAAAATTGTAAAACATGTGCTAAAGTTCCGATTTGTATCACATTATGCTTCACTTTAAATGCAGTTCCAAACATTACCACTCCAATCACATCTGGTACTAATCACGGTGATGTCGCTCAAAATTGTAATTTCGAGCTATTAGTAGCTGTTACAGCCAACCGCACGTCATTGGCTATAGCATAGCGTAAGGCTATACACACCGAGCATCCAGCTAAATTGTCTTAATTGTCGCCTTTGTTCGATATGACCTGTATACAAAGTATACAAGACCAGAAATCCTCGATGAACAATGGCCACCTGTACCTAAGCGCACGCGGCGGCGTCGCATATGTAGACGACAGCGTCCACGCCTGGTATGATGCAATTCATCAAAGCATATTGCTTCTATCCTTCCATACGCAAAGACTGCAGAAGCTACCGTTGGATGCATCACTAGACTCGATGGCCGCCGCGACGGCCACTTTCTCCCCGCCCAAGAATGCGACTACTCTCTTCGATTTTAGGGCGGCTGATACTTGTAAGGAACACCAGATCTCACTTTGGCCGCACAACATGACACCGATTCTTTTCGTGCAATTGTCGATCGACGGTCAATATCTCGCCATCCAGCGCAGCGACATTGAGGTTCAGATTCTGCACTGCGCGACCTGCGCGTCCTATTGGGTGTTATGTCGGTCTAAAGTTGGCAATCGAATTTTACACGGGGGCGTGATCTGGAGCGCACACTCAAGCAAGAAAAAGACAACCCAACATCTATTTCTTGTCACGAAGCTTGGGCTGGAACAATATCGTATCAGCTCAAAGCAGCATTGCTGTGCCCTATTCAGATATTTCGGACCATCTGTTCATGAATTCTGGTATGCCGCATCGCATGGATTGCTACTTGTCAGCTCTGGATTGAGAGCCAACGCGGTTGTACCTTTTTTACTGCACGGAATGAATGCTGAAAAATTCCCCGAGCTCGTGTTCTCCAGATCGATATGCAAGCCAGATCTAAATCTTGTGACTTTATATGGAGAGATGTACGTCATATATACTGATTTAAGATCGATGAAGCTCTTGGTGTATTTGATAACACGTACAAACACGACGTGTGTCCGCTCGCTGAACGTTCTGCTGCCACCAGAGACGGCGTTAGAGAATTCAGTTGTTGACAATCTGCTCGTCTGTCACAGTATGGAATTTAATGTCAGCTTCTTCTTCGATATCAAATGCGAGGAGATAAGCAGCGATCCTTTCTCGGCACCGTTACCGATTTCGTTAAGGCCACCAGGCCAGGTGTCTGTGATAACTGCGCCGGGTTTTACCCGTTGGCGATTTTATGCATCTAATCTCGTACAACAATCATATCTGGTAAATGGAAGCAGACATGTGGAAATACGAAAGCTGCAGCTAAATCTGATAGAGATCTGCAAGACTTGCGAGCACCATCCGGACATAGTACCATTTCTACTGCGTCGAGGCGATAGTGAGACTGCAAAGCTGTTGGTGTTGAAGCTTGCGCGAGACTATTTTTTGAATCACCTGGCATCTTGTTCCTTAGTCGTGCGGCTGCTGAGTACAACATTTATGAGCGGCAGCATGCGACGCGATAACGTGATGAAGCTTGTACGTTTTTATTTTCTGCTCGCTACTTGTGTTTTTTCTAAATTGTGCCCGCATGCGTTAAAAGGGTGCCGATTGGACAGAGTCTTTTGCTGATAAAGATGGCATGGTCGGTTCATTGAGGCGCAGGAGTTCGGCATTACAAGCTTTAAATGCGAAAAGCGTTCTCAAAATTCGTCAGACAGATTTTTATGATTACGTTTGGAGGGACATGATTCGTGATGCAAGTGTAGGTTCGCGTCGTGCCGGTGGCTTTGTGTTTTAATGATAGTAATGTGCTTAGTTTAACTATAGGTCGTTAAACACTGTTATTTGAGCGTCTTTCTGATTGAGTACATCAAGAATCTACGGCAATGGGAGGTACCAGTGGAAATGATCACGTGAGTGTGGTTGCAAGCGTTGACGTTGTTCAGCGGCTAATGATGCTAAATCAGATGCGTGGCGCTTGCAGAGTGTTACATAGCTACAGAGGAGCCAAACAAGCTCTACCAGTTCTTACACTACCATGCGCTACCAGATTCTATAGAACTTGCCGAGTTGATGATTCAAAAAGGGGACACTTATCCAGCCTTGATACAAGTGGGTCTGGACATGTTTTTTCGATTGCAGGAATTTCGTTCCATGATTCGCACCTTTTTAAGTATCGGACAGGTAGCAGTGTTTATACAAATCACAAATTTTGAAAACTTACTTTTTGTTCTTGTACAGACTGAACAAGGTTTACAGTTTGCTTTTAAAAACATGGATCTAAGATCGTGTGTTGCATCCATTTTTCCTGGTGTCATGTTTTACGACTCGCTGATTCGATCGGGTACGTGGAGTTGATCCATCACTGTCTGTTTCTCAGTGTTATTTTGTAGTCACCTCATCAAACCTGATCCGTTCATCTCTACAAGTCACGCAAATGCTGGGGAGTTTGCTTCTATTTTTGAAGATTTGGGATCCTGCTTCGTTGCGGCGTTCGAATACAACGTCACTTTCAACTCTTGCAACCAGCGCTACTAATCCGTTCCCAGACAATTTGGTTCTATCGAGTTCTCGAGCCAAATTAAGGAAAGCTTATGGATTTGCTGAATTAAAAGGCTAAACGGCATTTGGCTTCGCATTGGTTTACGAAATGGCTAGTTGCTGAAAAATGTTAAGTGTGACCTGAAGGAATTGGTCGGCAACTTGCTGTTTCCGATTTGGACGGTCGATGTGGGTCAATTGAAGCTGCGGATTTCCTATACCGTCGATTTTGAGATTCGGGTTTTCCTCGCCCCCGCCTTTTATCTGTGACTCTTGACTTATGACCGCTAGGAGATTCGTGACGTAAGAAGAATGCTTGAGACTCTGGACGAGCTTGTACTCTTACTATTAGGGGTCGGCGCATCGCTTTACTAACTTACTACTCTACTGTTTGGCAGAGCGAGAAATATGTACTCTCAGGTACCCGATCTCACTGTCCTTGGTTGGTTGCGATTAAGTTAACCTCCACTGGACTGTGGAACAGTACGCTCTTCGGCTACGTAGTGTGACTAAGGTAATTGATTCATTGCATTTCGAGACATTACAAATTTGAGCTTCGATTTGCAAATTACATAATTTGCAAATCGAAGCTCAAATTTCCTCGGCGCTCCAGCAAAATGAAGCTAATACGACTATCGAGATAGTCAAAGGCGATCATACAATGGAACATACTTCACTGCCACGTTGGGTCGAACAAGCAAACACGTGTACGTGGAAACGTTATAGCAGTACATTCAAAATTGCGCTTAAGAAAGTGACGAATGTTTTAATGTACACGCAATCGTTGCTATCTACGTCCATCAATCACTGCATCATTCGAGATGAAAATTGTCATTGTACTAATATTGCAATATGCTAAAGGAGCGCACACCGATGACGTTTTGACACTCGCCATGCCAAAACACTTATCAGAACTGCTGTATTTTGAAAAGCTTGGATAAAAGAAACCTTATGGCGCTAAAATTGTCTTACACATATTTTGCGATGCGACTTTTTTTGAATATGATCAAAGCTTGTGATAATCGCGCTAATATTGTGGCTTGTTGCGCACCGGGAGCAATACTTAAGCTGGTGCGTGCTGTCTTGATCAAATTTGTACGTTTTCTGACGTTACATTTTGTGCAACTTGCCTTTAAGGTTGTGTTTATAAGCAGATATCTGGTGTCCTCGCTGTACCAACGACTGTGGGATGCATAATGTGCTTATTTGGTCTTAAGGTTGTAATCATTGTGACTTGATCAGATCGGCTGACGAGTGACGAATGGGAAGACAATTATCCTGGCAGCCAAATTTTCAGATACTATGTAATTATGCTTTGAAGTCTGTAAGCTCGCAAATTATACAGATTGGACTTGAAAAGTTATCTCCTTTTTCGATGGCGTAAGATTATGAGTATCTGTAAATATTCCTTCTCGTTTCGTGGGTGCTACTAGAGATACGATTTGATCATGCGGAGCGAGTGTCTTTGCTGTATGCTTCGGTTTACGTCTTAAGTGGTTGCGGAACTACATCGTCTTCACGGTGGGATTTTCGCCATGAAATGGCACCGTTTTTCTAGCTTCGGTGGGTTCAGATAGATTGTCAATGGTACTGATGTCGCGAAATTCAGCCTGCTCAATTAAATGAGATAATTATGCGCAAGCAATACAGCATCGCCTTCAGTATCTATGGAGACATTGCAGCTGCAACTCCCGATGATTGTCCTCAATGAAAAGCGAACGGAGACTAGCACCAGTGTGGAAATGGAAAGGTGACCATTCTCGTCGACACTACACTTTGAGCATAACCTCAGCTTCCCAGACAATGTTCGCAAGCACAAGCTGCTGGAATTTTTTAGTGTGCTAGTAAGACACTACATCTTTGCTGCCGATGGCTATTTTGCAATAAAAAACGTTTGCTTCATCAATTGACTTTCTTTGGGGTCTCTGGCACGCTGATGGGCACACAAGCGAATGCAGGTTTTGCAGTAGATTAGCGCTACTGCTACTCTCTCATCTGCTATGCTTTATACGTCAAGGTGCCGGCCAGTTGAAAGACAACTATTCTGGTACAGCGAAACTGTTAAGGGAAACATGTGCTCACCACGTAATATTGTGTGCGAGGGCCGAGCGCAATATCGGCCACGACGGGAATAAAGCTTACCCGCTAAACAATGAAGTTTAACAAACAGAATACTGTTTCAGATATGCATTTTGGACGAGGCACCACAAAATCTATCAAATAAAGCCGATCTTCGCTTGCTAATTGTTTCGCGTCCAGATCCGAACAATTGCCTCCAGCACGAGGCCGTTGTATGATCCTGCGCAAAGTCCAATGATAGAACTCAATCCGGCTACCATGCCAGCAACTTCTCTTTGGTATTCTGAGCACATGTTTGGTGCAAGGATGAAGCTCGATGTGGCTACATAACCTGTGATTAATCCTAGCAAAAACACAGCCAGGACAATTGTAATGTCATTAAAAGGGTGAACATGTGCCGCCACAAAAAATGGAAGAAAAGACAGCTGGAATGGCCATGAAAGATGAATATTTGGCATGTCGAAATACAGCACATACACGGGTAGGATCTTTCCAAAGAGGTCACCCAAATTATAGCACCCGACCAGCACAATGGGATACCAGTCGCCCAAATTAAGCGTTACGGATGGAATAATCGAGATGATGCCGGGAAAACATGAAAGGCAGACAAAGTAGGAAAAAAACAGCGAAAAGAAAGGCTTTAGCGCGGTGCGAATCACGTTCATGATTGATGCAGCAGCGACGTGCTCCTCCGATTTACCTTCCATCCCACCAGCATCTTCCTCATCTTCCTCATCATTTTCAAACTCTATAAACGTTCCATCACTGCATGTATGAAAGTCATTTGCTAATAAAGGACTTCCTTCATCCACCCTGAAGAACGCATGTGGTCGTCTGACTGGGCTTAAAGGACTGGTGAGTGGTGACAGTGCTTGAGTTAATGGCGTCTCATGCTGCACCAGTGCGTATTTTGTCAGCAATGGCTGTGCAAACTTTGTACGAAGCAAAGTCCAAAACAGTACCCACGTGACAATCACAATGAGTAGCGCCACACCAAAAATGACCCCCACCGTCAATTTACTGAGCTGAAAATGGTAAAATTTGTCACCAACATTATCTTCCAAGAACCACTTAAGGAACAGTCTCACTATGAGAAGCAAAATCGCACCGCAACCTTTACCGCTTTCAATGGCCTGGATGAAAATGGGGCCAAAAACTCCTCCCAACCCGTACATAGACGACTGCATAATTGAAGACGAAACTGTCGAGCCCATGAGTGCCAGCAACGTCAACGGGTATCCCACATCATGAGGCAGTGTGATCATGTTGACCAGCGGGAGCAACACCATGAAAAATGCATATATGGCAAGGGATCCATACATCCTAGCTCCCATTGATAGTTGCCGTCCCGCCATAATCATGTACAAATTAATAATCAGTAGCGTGGACATGCTGACGATGGGGAAGACAAAATTCACACGATCTTCCGGGTATTTGTCGTCAAAAATAGACAAATCCAGTGTGGTGCAGCTCCACATGGCAATGGAGCTTGCTCCGCTGAAAAAAAAAGTGCAGTATGTGATCCGTAGACCCACGCGGTCGTCTAGATTGCCTATGGGCAAAACAGGCTCGATCACTTCGAGCAAATGAAAGACCTCAAAACCCACTTCTAAGCTTTTGCGTGAGTTGACTGTCATCGTTCCGAAGGAAATAGATGATGAGCTCAATAACTGGTTGCGATATCTGATTGGCTAGTTTGTAAAACCGTTACAGATTTTGCCAGATGGCTATGAGTTAAAGGTTCTATTGTTATCATATTGCTGATGGCAAGATCTCGTTAAAAGATGACGACGAAAAGAAATATGACGACAACCAGCACCAGAAAAATCTTGACAATTAAAGATCGGTTGCTCTGCACCATATTAAAGAGCTTTAGCAGCTCGTCGTGTGCGGCCTCCACATTTGTTTGACTGAATGTCCACATCAAGAGAAAAGCACATTAAAAATTTGCACATACCATGCCAACATTCTTTGTATTCACGTACGCTATATGTATATCGTCATCAATGCGCGAGATAATCTCCCCTTGCTGAGCAACCATGGATGCCATTCGTGTATACATGTTCGTTATCTGTATCAAATCGGATCGGCAACCGGACGGTCAGAGCCATTTATGTAGTATAGTATCGCGATCAAATATACACAGCGACAGACCTCTACAATGGTACTTTCCACTTGTGCCGCATTTGCGTGCCTCGTCTGAGCATCTTCATGAGAACGATATTGCTGCGACTGCATCCCTGTAACATTTTCAGGAGGTGCTAAGCGCTGCTGCATAATCGGACTAGCTCCAAAGTTAGCGCGACGACGAAGCTTCGCCTCAGGAGGTGGCGGACTCAATGTCGGTGTAGCACCTGTGCCCAATCATTTGCCAAAAAGCAACATAACAGATTTAGTTAAAACAAACAACGAGAAAGAACACCAGTAAGTAACATTTATGCGATACTTTGCTCAGCCAGTGAAGCAGCAGTTAATGCCTGAAATCCACTCCTGACAGCGAAGTTACAAGATGGCCGATTCTGCAGCAAATGTTGAGGTGCCTTACTGTTAGTTGGCAAAACCGGATGTCCATTAAAAGTTGCATTCGTGCGGAAAAATAGCGGTGCATTTATATGAACCATGAGATTACCCCCTCCATGCGAAAATTTGCTGCGTCTCGAGCTACGCTCGCGGATGGCCGCGGTATGCTGTTGCAACGCTTGCTACGCATGACATACAAGACAACTAAAGTCAGTACCACTTCCCTATATCAATCATAAATCACTACCCACGTGAAAGGCTTGTACACTTTTTGCGCAGCGCGACTTGAGCGACTGACAAACGATAGCAAAATGTGCCTGGTTATGCTGCTGATGGCTGCCCCGTTGTGCTTTGACTTTCTGCCAAAAACTTTCAATGCTACGCTCAGCAGCACCTAATTCTTTCTTTAGCACATCTGTTAGTGTCGCAATCTGTGCGCTTTGATCGTCCCCGATAATGGACTTCTTAATTACGATATCTTGCAGCTCCCGTAAACACAATTCTTGCTGCCGTAATTGATCTGAGATCTGCTGTGCCAGGCGCGCATCACGAGAAAGAGGACGGTGCGTGTGCGGCCGCGATTGGCCTGTAGCGAACAGCACCGTAATACTAACGAAGTCGCACGTGCGATCCATTTAGATATATTAAAATATGGTCCATCTCGTACTTAAGCTGATTTCAAACTTTTGCCACTTGAGATTTAGAACACTCATGGAAGAAGCGAAGTTGCGCGCCAAGATTCAGGCGATGAAGAATCTCTTGGAGGCCAAACAACAGAAAACATTATTTAAACCACCACATAGTAAGCATTTGGAGTTTAACAGCCAGAATCAGGTGATTTCTGGAGCAGTCAATCGATCATGGAACCGATTTTTCGATCCTAATGCGACCACGAAGCAGGGTCATGTTGCTAGAGGGAGTGCAAATAAGGTTTGGAGGCGTGAAGATGCGTTAAATAGAGAAAAAAAATCCGCGTCGATGAACAAGGCGTGGAAGAGACCGGTGTGTGACTTTTTGACAGACGAGAATGATTCATTTGACGGGTTGTGCTGTTTTGCCAGGTAAAAATATCAGCCAATTACAGTAAAAGCATGCAATTGCAGGTGCTGCGGTTAGAAGACGGTGATTACGCCAAAGCAAAGGGCGGGTACAGTCTTGTTCGGGCGGAAGCGAAGAAGCCAACGGTGACGAATCCCTTTATAGCTGTTGTCTCTGCAACACCTACACTAGCGTCTGATGCGAAGAGTAATGAGTCGAACTAATTTCTGATATGTTTTCATTGCATCGAAATGACTTGGTTTGCTGTCGTCATGTGTACCATGTCCAGAATCCGTTCATATCGGTGGTGTTAAGTATATTGCCTCGAACGAAGGAAAGATACTGAAGCGTTGCTTCACAGAAACGCGAATCGAAAGCATCGCACGCAAACGAGGATTACTAAGCAGAAATGGAACACATGGAGCTGTTCGTGCTGCGTAAGCGTCAGTACTTCTTATTTTTCAAATGATCGTGCTGACTTAAACTTTCCTGAATGTAAATTAGCCTCATTCGAGCAAAAGCCACCGTGCAACGCGCCCGAAACAAACGCTTCCATACAAATCATTCATTAGAACTTCGCACAGAATACTGCTCTTTTTACAACCGTTTCGGCAAGTAATTCTTATTTTAAAATGCTGCTGACTTGTGTTAGTGAATGTTGCTGCCATTCATTACCTTGATGCTGAAACAGGCTACTGCAAAAACAAAAATGAATGCAAATATATTCATGACAGTCGGCGCGTATCGATGTGCAGAAAGTTTTTGAAAAACGAGTGCAAAGATTCTCGGTGTCTGCTGTCGCATCAACATGACGAGGTGAACTATATTCGATGACATATGTGGTGCTAGCGCTTCGGCGGTGATCTTCATAGTCACCTGGGTGCTGATGATAATTATCACTGATGTGGTGTTTATTGTTTATGGCTGTACAGAACAAAGTTCCGGACTGTAGAATGTTTTTGCGCGGAGCTTGCACTCGAGATAATTGCAAATACCGCCACGTCAAAGTGAGTGCAACAGCGGACATTTGCAAAGCTTTTACGAATGGATTTTGCTTTGAGGGAGCTGCTTGCCCGTTGCGACATGAGCTTCGTATCAAGTCACCTATGTTATTTGCGTCAAGACAGAACACTGACAGCAAGATGACATCTGCATCAGGTTTGTCATCAAAAGCGTCTGCCTTGGTGGTTGGCGATAACCCAAAAATTCACGACGCGGACTTGCTGATTCGGCCAAATATCCGGTTTGCTTCCAAGTACAACTCAAGCTTTCCGTCTTTATTTGACGGCTTTCGCAGAACAGCAAACTAATTTCGTTATGACTGCAGCAGCCAGTTAAATAAAAAATTCTTGTGTCATAATATGATTTTTTAAAGGTATCATTTCTATTGCGAAAGAAAAAATGAGCAATTTCGAGCTTTTGGCTCATGCAGCCCAATGTAAAGGCTCTGCTGGTGTGCACGAGTACTTGCAAGGTACATTGCACATGGTTGCTTGCCAGCTACAGTAAAATTGCTTATGGCTTTATGCTTCAAACAGAGCATCGTCTAGTGGCTCCTGACTTTCTGCAAGAGCTCAGCACACCCATTCTTCTAGGCGTTGAAGATAAAGATGAGGACGCGACGGCTGCAGACTTTGGTATTTGTATGGAAAAATTGAATCTGAGAGTGCAGCGTGATATATGGAGTGCATTGGCGAGCGGGGCTTCTCCTTGCGCGGACACGGCTGTAAGCCTCGCACGCGCTTTTCTTAGAGTGACAGCGATACCGCGACGTCGCGAGATTGACAATGTATGCCTCTTGCTTGCGAAGATGGTGTTGCAAGAAGATGCAGATGATCAGAAAAGGGAAAGCAATCCGGTGGATAATGCTTTCCGCCGTCGAATGCGTCGGTCTACGATGAATCGCGTGGAATTCTCGTTACAGAATGAAAATCACGGCAAGTTAGTGACATCTAGTAGATTATATACTACCAGATTAGCTGCATCGCGGTCAAAAAAACGCGTGAGAGCTGATGTCGTCCTGGATCAAATTTTGGTGCAAAAAACTGAGCAGCGACTAAGAGATCAGTCACTCTCCTGCATACCAACACCAGAACCACCATTAATATCGAAAAAGGTGTCCGTGGTGATAATCTGTCCTAAAAACTTTATGCATTTAATGTTGAACTTTTTTGTGATAGATGGAGGATCGCGCGTCTAATCTGGCCAAACGGCTTGACCACCTCTCATACTCTGAAAGCACTACTGTGGCTGATGACATCGCTTCATGTGTCTTTACTTTGCTGGCTGAAATCGTTAACGACGTCCGTACGACTTATGTAGCTAACGAGCGCAGCTTTCAGTATCTATGCACGGTGCTACGTATAGACTCCGCTAATGATGAAGTTCTATATCAAATTACTCGGTAAGCATCTATTCAAAATATGGTGATATTACACTATAAGTGCAGCTCACATTCTCTATCAGTGCGCTTGTTGATTCCAACTGGAGCTCGCGGTACGCCGCGATTTTTATCAAAACAAGTGTTTTACCAAAGGTCCGTTCAGCCGACTCCGTTATTTCTCGCGTGCTACTTCGGACTGCATTTTACTTTGGTTCTCGTTATGCCGAAGCTCTTGTTGGCTCGCTATTACTTCCTCTGTTGGTCGGAGGCAACGATGATAATTTGAGGTATATCGTCGGTACTCCACAAGCAGAAGCGATCACACGAATTTTAAACAATTCTGATGCAGTATCAGCAGACCGGCTGGATGAGTTCGTAAGTCGGAGTCTAGAAGCAGCGGCTACCAACGAACACGCTAATCCAATGTGTCCGCATTTGCTCTCAAACGAATCGGCACTTTTAGTTTATCAAACCATCCTTAGTACTCAGCCAGCGTTATCACCATTGACGGTAGAAAGATTTATTGGGGCATGCGAAGCTGTTCTAGAGCGTCCAGGAAATGGGCAAGTTCGGGGTTCCCTCAAATTTGCCACTGTTATTTTTACGCTAATCTCGAAGTATCCTGAGCACTGTGCTCGTCATGTGGAATCACTTGAAGCAATCGTCACTCAATTGACGTCTATTATGATGAAGACGACCTTGCGTTGCCTGCAAAAGCTGAAACCCTAACAAGTGATACTACGTAATTGGAAGCAAAATGATGATACTACCTGGGTTCTAAAACGCACGATCAGGAATGTTAAGAAAAACCGCATTGATAATATCGACCTAGACGATACTGCATTAGCATTTGCACTACTGCATTAGCATTTGCACTATTGCAGGTGGGTGCACTTTCAACATTAGAACGAAATCACCGCCAGGCTGTGCGGACGTATGTAACGGGGCTACACGTACCCTGGTAACAGGGGTGTGTGTGACCGTGGTGTGACTGCACCCAATAAGAATACGGTATGTGGCTGGGTAGCCAGTAGTTATGCATAAATTTAGATTTTACTATATTAATTAGGGAAAATCTATACATTTAAAATTAGGCGGTATAGCCGCAGATAAAAAAAATAAAAATCAGTTTTGGATTTTAAACGGAAGAGTAATTAGCCTTGGGTTAAGGCAATAATTACTCTTGGAATAAGCGGATTGCGATCTGCTAACTCGTACTTATTCTAAGTATAGAACGAAAGGTCGGTGACCTAAATGGCGCTTCCTATAAGCGCAACGCTACGGCAGCCCCGCTGCATTTGGTAGCACTTGTAGTCAATCTACACCTGAGTCGTCTAGACTGATCCTCTGTGAGGATGGAACAATTTTCATCTTTGCCCCAGGGCATGCAGGACGGGCTTAATAAGCTGGTGTCCTTGCTTGGCCCTGATGGCGTGCAACACCTTGCGGCGCAAGGCGGGTGAGAGAGGTCGAGATGGCCATCGCATCCGCCATGCTCCAGACCGAGCAACAGCG